AAAAAGAGAGACGGGAATACCTGGATCAAATATTAAGCCATTAATAATTCCCTTCCATTGTACTAAACTTGAACGGCCAAAGAGGATCGAGACACTAGAAGTGTGAAATGGCTTTGGAGGCCAAAGTCTTCAATCGTGTGGCTAGTGATGACAAATATTGAATGAATTCATTGAGCCAACCTGTTACTATAAGAGCAACATTGCAAGGATCAAGTAATGCATCTCTATCGTACTCTCCAGACTCGTGGCTGTTGGCTCTCTTTTATCCTTGACTGAAGATGGAAGAGAAGTTGCTAGGGTAGTTGAATGAGGGTTGAAGACCCCTAACTTGGGCTCCAAACGTAGTTTTGAAAAAATAAACACCATGCATTAAAGGTCCATTCTCCGGCAAACTAGCCAGACTCTGTGACTCACTGATCACCGATGGAACACCCTCTTCATTTCCTAAGCTAATGGTTGCATCACCCTTATCATCTTCTGTAACAGTCCCTTCAGCGGTAGAGGACACTCTAATAGTAGAAGGAAAACATATATATTCTATCTCTCCATTTGATTTAAATTTTGCCAACGGTAGGACATAGTTCACGAAGACAATGTCTTCTATCTCGTCACTCGATTCAAGATCAGATTGCAGCACAATAGGGTCAAAATAGAGAGAAGAATGTAGAGAAGCGATCACTTCAACGGACGAAATATTACTAGCAGGTGGAGGTTCAACTGATATTCCCAGATGATTTGTTATCTCTTCATTAACGACTGATGCCAGAGCAGGATGACTTTGCGAAAACTTAATATCTCCTTTGATTAATAATGTTAAGTGCTCATCATCAAACCTCGAGCTATGTTTAATCACATTTATCATAGCCTCAATTCGGTCAAAGTGCTGCTCACGTTGCTTTCAGGAAGCCTCCAAGAAAGCCACTAAGCTTTTGGTCTCCTTAGCCACTTGTTTAATTGCCTGATGTAGCTCTTTAAGTTCAGTCTCATCAATGTCATTAGCCATTGAAGCAGGATTGACTCTCTCAATGAAAGCACCTTTATCACGTACGTACTCAACAAAATAAGCAGAACAAGAACTCAAGAACGTCACTGATAAACTCAAGGTATTCTTAATGAAGAATTAATTACAGGGAATTACATAAGTTGCAAAAGGGAATTATAAGAAGAAGGAGAGGTACAGATCAGAAGAGAGATACAGGGGAAGGCTTAGAGATAAAGAAGCAACAGAAAGGAGAAGCATCATCACAAATTTCACACACCCTTGCAAACAATCTCGCCTCATATATATCCTTAGCTTCACATTGTTCAAGCGTCTTTCCCATTCAGTTACTAGTAACAACATCATACAGAAGCACCACCTCCCAAGCCATGTGATCATCTTGGGCCCCACAAGTGCTATTTGACCAATTCATGACACCAAAATCCCCACCAGCATCAATAGCTGTACAACACCCAATCCTATATTCACAAAGCCTCCTAACTATCCTCCATTATTATTTCTTATTGAACCACCACATCCAGCCTCTCCTAGCTGTCCTTTCACAGCCACATTTAGATTCAACTTTATCCACCCCACATCAGGTGATTTCCACTTTATATTTTCCTATTTCTTCAAAATACCAACCTCCCCTTCCCTATACGCGCATTTTACATTTTCAGCATGCCAGTATATATTATGGATAAGAATAGCCATAAGGCTCTATCCAGGCAGATTATTGAAAAATTGAAGATAAATGGAAGTAAGCTGACACTTGGAATTACAAAACTATCTTGGGTTACATCATTCACACATAGACCAGGAGTCTATGAGAAAGGAGAACAAAAACAATGTACAGTTTTTCCATATTAAAATAAGATTCACGTGATAATGAAATTTTTAGTCTACAATATTTATCTTGTCAATTTAATTTTTTAAGTTTAATTTTTATTGATTTGGTTACTTATGTTTTATTAAATTCTCATGTTAGTCCTTTATGTTTTAAAAAACAAATTTAATCTCAAATTAATTTAATATGTAAATTATTTTGATAACTTGATATGCATATGTAACTAAATCAGAACTAATTTACTCTTAAATCAATTTAAATTTTATTAATCTAGTCCCTTACCCATCATTTTGATATTTGGGAGAATGACAGATAAATTCTCTTGAAATAGGAAAATAAAAATTTAGTCCCGCACGTGAAATATAATGATAATGAGGTCTCAAGTGACTTCTTTGATATTTAATTTATTGTGTAAAATTACTTTATTATCCCTTTTGTAACTAATTTTATATGGTTTATAAGTTTAATATAAGTATTCGCAAGTTTGGTTTTACCAATGACTAAAAAGATTTAGAAAATTACAATTTTTTATTAGCAATTTTCTTTTATTAGCAAAATCTAACTAATTTTATATGGCTAACAAGTTTGGTGTAAGTATTTTCAAATATGGTTCCACTAATGACTCAAACAATTTAAAAGATCACAATTTTCTATCAATAAAGTTTAACTAATTTTATATCATTTACAAGTTTGGTATAAATATTCAAAAATTTGGTTCCATGAATGACCAAAACAATTTAGAAAATCATAATTTTCTAAATCACAAAGTGGTATTAAAGTAATTTTGCATAGAAATTTAATCTCAAAGAAGTTTCTTGGACCTCAATGTCAATATCATATTTTGCAAGATTAAATTATCATTTTGCTATTTCAAAGAGATTCATGTTTCATTCTCCCTTGTTATTTTTTTTTAAATTTTTGAGTTTATTCCTTTTACCTGGATAATTATACTTCTTTTCATTAATTTACATGGGTGTCGTCAATATTTCATTATTCTTTTCAACACGCATGTTTTAACATTGTCATCTCCTATTTAGACAATAAGAACCAGATTAACGAATGAGAAAAACTTAAGAAACCAAATTGATAAAAAGTAAATTTAGGAGGTCAAATTAATAATTGAGACAAATTTAAAAGATTAAAAATTTTATATTATTCCTAAATTTTATAATTCCATGGTCCCTTAGCTTATGATGTCACTAAAATTAATTAAATTACATACTCCTTGCAATTGTTCTTCAGGAGAATGACGTCTAAGGCCCTTTCACGAGAATTTATTGCAATAAGGACTTATCAATTTTGCATTAAATATTGTTTTATAAAAATATGCATATCTTGTTGTTGAAGCTGAACCATAGCTTGTATTTTTTATTAGGGTTTCTTTAGAAATTTAACAAATTAATGTTTAGTTTTTAACAATAATATATTCATATTTTCATAAGACAATATCCAATGCAAAACCAGTGAGTCCTTATTACAATAAATTCTCCTAGGTCTAAAAATTTAGATGAATCTTACGGTTATTTAAGTTTTTGATAAACTGGGTTGTTTTAAATGGGGTAGCGGGTTAATTAATTTATCACCAACTAGTGATGACTGCATATGATTCTCATTCAAAATCCCCCTGCTCAGCCTTGGACTAAATTGAAGCTTAGGATCCAGCAAAACTTTTTCAAAACCTTTAATACTTCGCCCAAATTATGATTTCAACCATAATAAAACTAACAAAAATGCAATTCGAGTTTCCTTCTTTGGTAAGTTAAAAAAAATCTATATTTCCTATGAGCAATTTAGGGAAAACAAAACTATTAGTCCTTATAGTTTTATTATGTTTTGTTATTGGTCCCAATATTATTTTTTTTTTTTGGTTCATGTCCTTGTAATTTTTCTTATCTATAACGTTAGTCCTTCTATCTTTAAATATGCATAAAGGAATGATGATGTGGCATTAATGGTGTTAAATTGTCTGACATGTTAAAGTAAAAAAGAAGCAGAGCACTCACAGAATACAGAGTAATGAACATCAACTTGAAGAAACTAAAGACTGTGCTCAGCTACATGAAAACAAAATAAATTTCAACGTCAACCTTTACAAAATAATAATAACAATAACAACAACAACAACAACCAATGGCTTCAAAATTAGAAAAAAAATAAAATAAAATAAAACAGAATATCTTGGTGTGATGAACGAAACTGAAGAGATGAAAAGATGAGTTTGAAGTCTATAAAAATGAATAAAATAAAACCTAAATTCTGTTTGATGAGTAGTTAAATGTACGTTAGTTACATGCGAAATAATTTAATACAATTAGTGCTATATCTTCATCCCTCTTGGTATATTTAAAATAGATGGACTAACATTATAATCGAGAAAAACTATAGAGATATAGAACATTGAAAAAAATACAGGAACTAATAATAAAACACACTAACACTAGTGACCAATAGTGTGTATAGTGTGTTTACCTAGAAATTTATTACAAGCTCAAAACACAATAATATTGCAACAAATGAAGCATAGTACTCTAGTATAACAATAACTATAATCCTAAAAACATCACATGCCGCTTGTCGCTCGCCAAACAGCATCAGTTGAGATAATTAAAGCAGCATCATTCATATTGTGCATCTCAATGCCTTTTTTGTTGCTCGGAAACATTTCTTCACAATCCAAACAAAAAAGCGCAAGGTGAGTAAAGCTACAATCAGCCGAAGCAATCCAGCCCAGGCCAACATTGAGGCTCTAATGGTGATCCAAGCAGCTTTATCATCCCAAAGATGGTCTGGCATTACAATTTTAAGAGCACTCAAGTAGGCAAGAGCTAGTGTTGTGAGAGCGACACACATGCCTATAGATAGCAGCCATGTCAAAGCTTTGTTCTTCACAGGAATCCCACTTATAAGCAAGAGTGTGACGCTGAGCGATGAAATGAAAGAGATGGTATTGCAAATCACATACGACAGAAACACGCTTTGGGAAGGAAAAGACAAGACTGCTTCCCCAGGACAATAGGACTCGTTATTATAAAGGACTGTGCAGTTTAGGGCATCATTATTATTTGATGAACCTTGAGATAAACCTTGTTGAATGAAGCCACCAGGTGGGTTAATTAAAGATTGAAATGTAATGGTGGCTATAACAGTAGACACTAAACTCAGATTTCCTCTCATCTCTTCTATCCAGTCACCTTTGTCTGAACCAACATCCAATCCATTTCAGAATCCTTATCAAACAATTTCTTCTTCAGAGTTCGAGGTCTCGCTGCTGCTGGTGGTGACCAGTGTGAATGAGCGTAGATTCTGTTACTTTCAGTTATGATTCCAGAATATTCCATCAGCATGAGTTGTATTTCCAGGGTTTTTAGGTCTTTCGGACTATGTTTAAGGATGTCAAAGGCAGTGAGACCCATGTTGTTCTTCAAGTTTGCCATTTCTCTTATTGTTGGGACTGATAGGAGGTACCTTATAGTCTGAAATAATATACATGCTTGTCAGTATATTGAGGTGTCATATATATATATATATATATGATTGTCAGGTAAAATATTTTTATTTTTATAATTTAGCTCTAGTTTTCTTACTTTGCCCAATAAACTCACTCACTCACCAGCTGGATGGAGGCGGCTTATTTTCCTTGTATTTTCTTTCATTCCATGACAAGAAAAATTAGTCGACGAAGCACAAAAATCTCTTCATAATTCATATTTTTCTGAAAAAGAAGGAAGGAAGGAAAGAAAAAAAGGTGTAGTTGGGTGAAAATAAAGGACCCAAGAATGACGTTCATCCCATGACTGAAAAAAATGTTTGACATTGTCAATGTCAAAGCCGTGAAGGAACAGCAACAAACAATCATAATAATCAGAAGCAGAAATAGTTTTAATTTCTACCACATTCAACTTTAGAAAATGACAAGAAGAAAGGAAAAGAAAAGGCATAGTCAAAATCCAAACCCCTCAACCAATCACAACGTAAGTCAAAGCATTCCGTTTCAATTTCATCTTTTCCTCCTATTTAATTAAATATTTTAAACTTGATATTATATAGGTTCATAAATTCTCTGTAATAAATATTTGAATTATTGTGGTATTATTGTAATCGGTTGTCGTTCAGTAGAAGATGGGGATCAATTTCCTTCATTCTGACTAACTGTCCCGAAATTTCTTTGATCTTTGTTCCCAGCGACGGCCTTATCGATCTGATCTTCCCGTAATGGCTTTGCCAGTGATTGAGCATTTGAGCTACAAGGCGAAATGAGAAAACTAGCGAAAGGGACTAAATGATAGACTTAAAATTCTAATAATTTTTTTGATTCAGAAATTCGGGCTGATGCTCGCTATTGAGGAAAAATTGGATTTTTTATTCACTTTGTTCTCCCCACCTGTAAAAATTGGCCATGTGAGCTGCGATCATGTTCTAAAAACTTATGATCTTAACACCACGAAATTACTCCAATACCCCTATATTTATAGTTTCAACCACAGTATTAAAGATTATAACCCAGTCGATTGACTGATTAAACTATTAAATTGATGTGGTGGCCGGTTCAATAAAATGTTTCATTCATGATTGATCTAACCACGATTTGATTATACAGTTTTGATCATTAACTCTTGACCTTAACCAGTTCAACAATGAAATCTGGTTTTAAATGTCTTGGTTTCAACCAATAATTGAGCAAAAATATAATCCAAACATGCAAAAAGGAAGAAGCTATAGAAGGAAGGATAATATCGCACCTCAACTTGCTTCGACATGACTGCTAAATGGAAAACGGTGTTCCCCGTTCCATCAGAACTTGTAAAGTTGAGAAACTTCCCAGAAATGGCAATTTCCAATTCCACCAAAGCTTTGAGAGTCTCCAGATGATTGCACATCGCACACAAGTGAAAAACAGTGTTTCCATTGTCAAGAAAGCTCAGAGACTCAGGCTTCGCATTGACCAGCTCTTTCACAACATCTGTTCTTCTTCTGATAACTGCATAGTGCCAAGGAATCTTGTCTTCTTCATTAGGAAACAAGCATGGCTTGTTATTAACTTCAAGCATTCCCTTCACGACCTCGTTGTGACCTTCTGCAGAAGCCAAGTGCAGGGCCGTGCTTTGAGAATAGTCAACCTCAATAGCCAGTTTGGGTTTGCACATGAGAAGTGCTTTTGTGAACTCAAGGTGGCCGAGAAGAGCTGATACGTGTAAAGGAGTTTCGGTGAAGCCACTTTGTGAAATTTTGTGAAGGATTAATGGTTCTACCTGCAAAAGTGAGTTCAAAGTTGACACAGACCCTGCGCGTGATGCTTTATAAAGAACGCTCAATCTATCCTCTTCACGATGATAAGTTCCCATTTTGATTATAGTCTCCATCGCTTGTATGAATGCGAAAGGTGTACATATGCTTCATTATATGTACACATCATTTTGAAAGGATCTGTCAAAGTATATTGCCTATGATTGTTTAATGTTCTATATACTATATTCTGAATTTTGATCCATTACTTTGATGATTATACTAGTAATATTCTCAGAGCGTGAATTCTATTTGCTAGCACCCAACCATATCCAATCCAAATACATTCCTGGGATTGTATTCCTTTGGGCCGTTTCTGACCAATTCAATCCTTTATTTAAAGAAAAAAAAATTGTAGAAGATGGAAAACATTTAAAGCGGTGAAGTTTCACTTTTTAAAAAAAAAACCAGCAAAGATGGGAATCCCATTAGCTAAAGAAGTATCCAGAGTACAAAATAGAATCCAAAGCATTAAATTAAAATAAAAAGGAAAATGGAAATAACAAAGCAGAACAAAACAGGGGCATCCAAGCCAATGCCTTCCCTATTGGCTATTATCAATTACACCCTGCGCATATTGATAAATTAATGCATAAGTTAGCAATGTTGTTCAATACAATATATCATTTTTAAAATTCTTAGAGAGATTATTTTCATGCTTATACTAATAATGTTGATTGTCCTTAGAGCATGAGAATTCTGTTGAGTTCCATTTACACCTGACACAATGGATTTTATAATTCAAAAGTTCTCACCTTTTGGATATATGTATGTCTGTATGTGTTAAGCAATAGAACGTATTTCACTTTTTGCAACTGATTTTTAAAAAATGATTATTTGAAAATTTTAGTTGGTTGAAGCTACTTTGCAGATAATTGAAAAATTCACAAGCTGACTTGTAAGTTTAATGAAAGTAAAGTATAATTATAGTTAGAAAGAAGTAACTTAATTAGCAAATATAATTTTGACATGAATAATTAGTAGATATATTTTTTTACCTGAATTTATTCGATATTTTTACTGTAAGATATTTAGCGAATTGTAAGTTGATTAAAATTAGATATAAATTACAAAAATAAAAGTCTTATTTTTTTAGACTTTTGTAGATATAACTCATGTCATGAGACCAAATCAAATAAACAGCCTAACATTTATTACATTTTGTATTTTGGCTGGTTTATTATATTTGTCAATGATATATTGTTGTATATCAATAAAAAACTCCTTGTAAATTTTTAAATATTCAATGATAAATCTTTTATATATCAATGATAAACTTCTCGTATGTTAATATAAACTGACTATACTTTTAAATTTTTAAAAATTTAATCCATATTTTTTGGATTTAAGATTTGCTGGTGGGCCAATTTATCCTCTCTTTTTTTTTTTTTAATATTCAACGCAGTTCGATATCATTTGATCGATGTGTTGCTTGTTATTGCCCAAATGAAATGTGTTCACACACACCACACACACACACACACAGACAGTTTAGCCAAAAACTTAATTATATACATAGTTTATGATTAATATAAATCTATGGATAGAGCTCATAGTTTTTTTCTTTCTTGATAATTTGGTGATTATTTATAAGTAATTTAGTATTGCTTGATGGCTAAAAGTCAAAACCATACAACATGCCATTTTTTATTTTTGGTCTGCCTTTGACTAAGTCAAATGCATAGCATTGAACATTCCCCCCGGAAAGCGAACATTCAATATTAAAGTACCGGACTTACTAAAATATCACTTACGCTTATAAAACAAATCACGTGCATTACAGCGCACTAGTATCCATAAATTAATGCATAAATTACCTGATTGACGAAAATATAATGACGTTCTTGTTTGAATTAAAAAAATGTACAGTTCGAAAATTGGAGTAATTTAATAGATATATCTATTGTAAGAAAATTATTAAATTTATATTCATATGCATGTAACAATATAACGAAGCCTGGCCTATAATTTTAACAGATCAAGTAGTTAGATTTGATAATATTCCAAATTTTACTACTAATTGTATAATAATTTGTAATTGATCTCACTTTATAACAGGAAACATTTTAGAGAAATAAGTAAATGCATGTAACTGTTGAGAACCTTTAGTTGTAAACTGCAATAAATGATGGGAAAATTATGAATAAGTGTTGTATAAAAAATTTATTTACAAATAAGTCTCGTAAAATTCAAAAACTATAGCTAAATCGATTAAAAAACTCAAGAGTAATTTGAAATTAGAAAGTAAAGACAATACTATCTCTATTAATTTGGCTTTTACTTTCAATTACAACTTCATAATATACAAGTAAAAATTTATAATTTGCAAGTCAAATTTTTTATTTAACACTTGATATAACATGGAGTCTTGATAAAGTTAATTATACCTACTTTATGCTGTAATTACAAAGTAAATTACAAATTTTACATCCCACTTGAACTAATTATAGCCTTAAGTAGGCATAATTAACACCATGTAAACATGTTACACCAAGCTTTAAACAAGAAATACTGTAGAAACCAAATTGGACCTAAGTAGTTGAAATGAAATGTCATAAAAAGAAGCAGCATCAAGTTCACCCAACTGCCCATGTCAAAAGCTTTTTTATTGCTCTGAAACATTTCTTTACGATCCAAATAAAAAGACGCAGTGTGATTAACACCACAATCAGAAAAAGCATTGCAGCCCACGCCAAAACTGACGCTTCAATTGTGATCGACGCGGCATGGTTATCCCAAAGATGGTCTGGCAACACCATTTTAAGGGCAATCAAGTATGCAAGAGCCAGGGTTGTGAGAGTGATACACATGCCTATTGATAACAGCCATATCAAAGCTTTGTTCTTCACAGGAACCCCACTTACGAGCAAGAGTGTGACGCTGAGCGATGAAATGAAAGAGATGGTATTGCAAATCACATATCTCAGAAACAAAGTTTGGAGACGAAAAGATGATATTGCTTCTCCAGGACAGTAAGACTCGTTGTTATTAAGGATGGTGCAGTTTAGGGCATCATTTGGTGACGAAGAGTCACGAGATAAACCTTGCTGAATGAAGCCACCAGGTGGGTTGATTAAAGATTGAAATGTTATGGTGGCTATAACAGTGGACACTAAACTCAGATTTCCTCTCATTTCTTCTAGCCAGTCACCCTTGTGTCTGAACCAACCACCAATCCATTTCAAAATTCTCATGAAACAATTCCTTTTCTTCTTCTTCTTTCGGATTCGAGATCTTGCAACTGGTGGTGATGAGGAGTGTGAATGAACGTGGATTCCGTTTTCTTCAGTTCTGATTCCAGAACATTCCATCAGCATCAGTTGGATTTCTAGGGTTTTGAAATCTTTGGGATTCCGTTTAAGGATATCAAATGCAGCAAGACCCATGTCGTTCTTTAAGCTTGCCACTTCTCTAGCGTTTGGGATTGATAGGAGGTACTTTATAGTCTGAAATAATAAACACGCATGTTATTATATATATATATATATATATTGTGGTGTATCATATATGATTTCCGGTTGAAGAAAGAAAGTAACAAGAAAGGATTGTTGGGGTAAGGAAAAAAGGAAAAAACAAAAAACAAAAGGACCCCAGATAAGGTTCATTCCATGGATTGAAAAGAATGGTTGACATTGTCGACGTCAAAGCCGTGAAGGCCCAGCAAGCAAACAATCATAATCAAAAGCAAAAATTATTTTCCATCATATTCAACGTTGGAAGATGGGAAGACAAAAATTTAAGTCAAATTTTAAAACTCAAAATTATAAAATCATTTTATTTTATTTATCATATATTTGTTATTAAACCAATTTTATTCTATAGGCGACTTTTCACGTTGCTTTGACACACTCACAAAAATCCAAACCCCTCAATCAATTACGAAGTAATTCAAAGCTTTCTATTTCAATTTTATCTTTTCCTGATCCTCCTACTTAATTAAATATTACAAACTCAAGATTAAATTCAAATTCTCGGTAATAAATTAAATAAATTATTGTGCAAGATTATAATGGAGGTGGGGTTCATCATCAGAAGATAGGCCCCCTTTCTTCCTTCTAACTCATTAACCCGAAAATTCTACAATCTTTCCTCCGCCGCCGCTATCATCGATCTGACAGTGATCGAGCTATTGCCCAAAATAAGCAAACTAGATAAAGGGACTAAATATAAACTTAATATTGTGATGAATTCTTAAATTCGGGAATTCAAATTCATACTAGCGCAGCTACGGGTAATAAATAAACAACTTAGGTATTGGGCGAAATTTGGTTTCTCATCCGAGTGTGTAGAAATTCGCCCTGGGAACTGGATCAGTCATGTTCTAAATTTATGATAGTAACATAACAAAATTACAACAATACGCCCAGATTTATAGTCTTAACCAATAATTCACTGAAAAAACAACGCAAGAATGTAAAAACAAGGCGATATATCGAGACATAAAAGGATGAATATCGCACCTCAACTTGCTTCGACATGACTGCTAAATGGAAAATGGTGTTCCCTGATCCATCAGAACTCGTGGAGTTGAGAAGCTTCCCAGAAATAGCGAGTTCTAATTCCACCAAAGCTTTGAGAGTCTCCAAATGATTGTAGATCACACATAGGTGAAAAACAGTGTTTCCATTATCGAGAAAGCTCAGAGACTCAGGCTTCGCTTTGACCAGCTCTTTCACAACTTCGGTTCTTCCTCTGGTAACTGCATAGTGCAATGGAATCTTGCCTTCTCCATTAGGAAACAGGCATGGCTTGTTATTAACTTTAAGCAGTTCCTTAACGACGTCGTTGTGACCTTCTGCAGAAGCCAAGTGCAGGGCCGTGCTTTGAGAAGAGTCAACCTCAATGGCCAGCTTGGGTTTGCACGTGAGAAGTGCCTTCGTGAACTCAAGGTGGCCGAGCAAAGCTGATATGTGTAAAGGAGTTTCTGTGAAGCCACTCAGTGAAATTTTGTGAAGGATTAATGGTTCTTTCTGCAAAACTGAGTTCAAAGTTGATACAGATCCTGTGCGTGATGCTTCATATAGAATGCTCAATCCATCCTCTTCACGATGACAAGTTCCCATTTTGATTATAGTCTCGATCTCTTGCGTGAATGCGAAACGTGTACATATGCTTCATTATATATATACACATCATTTTGAAAGAATCTGTCAAAGTATATATTGCGTATGGTTGTCTAATGTTCTAATCAATGATTATTCCAAGCAAATTTTTGGTGGAATAGTATTTATATTTCTTCAGCTTGTTTTTCTTATTTTGTCTCTCATGACAACGTCTTCAAACTTTTTCACTATTGAATTCAATTCACAAAGTTCGTATTTGATGTGAAAGATGGAAATGTATATGGCAGCTGATAAATTAAACCAAAATTGGGATAGTATTTCTTTGGGCCGTTTCTGACCAATTCAACCCTTTAAAAAAAATGTAGAAGATGGAAAACATTTAAAGTGGTAAAGTTTCACTTACATCACGCGCATATTGAAAAATTAATACACAAGTCAGCAACGTTATTCAATACAATAAATCATTTTTAAAATTCTTCGCGATTATTTTCATGCTTATACTAATAATATTGAGAATTCTGGTGGGTTCCAGTACTCCTGCACAATGGATTTTTCAATTCAAAAGTTCTCCCCATTTGGATAGAAAGATATGTATGTCTGTATGTATGTTAAGCTATAGAATGTATTTCAAAATTTAGTTGGTTGAAGGTATCTTGCAGATATTTGAAAATTCACAAGTTGACTTGTAAGTTTAATAAAAGTAAAGTATAATTACAGTTAGAAAGAAAAATGAAAGAAGTAACTTAATTAGCAGATATAATTTTGACCTTAATAATTAGTAGATATATTTTTTACCTGAATTTAATCGATATGTTTTTACTGGAAGATATTTCTCAAATTTTAATTTGATTAAAATTAAATATAAGTTTTCGAAATGAAAGCCTTATTTTTTTAATATACAGTGCGGTTAGATATCATGTGATCTTTTTTTATCAAAAATATCATGTGATCGATGTGTTGCTTGTAGTTAGCCAAATGAGGGGGGTGCCTGTATAGTTTAGCCAAAAACTTAATTATATATAGAGTTTATGATTAATTAATACGGATCTATGGATAGAGTTCATAGGTTTTTTCGTTCTTTATAATTTGGCGATTATTTACAAGTAATTTATTATTGCTCGATGGCTCAAAACCATACAATATATAGATCAATGGTCTATTTATTATGGGCCGATTTTTTTATCTTCCTCTGACTAAGTCAAATGCATAACATTGAACATTCCCCCCGGAAAGCGAACATTCAATATTAAATTACCTGTTGGCCAAGAAAAAATAAATAAATTACCTGACTGACTAAAATATCGCTTATTAAAAAAAAAAAATCACTTACATTACATCACACTTTTACATTGATATGCATGTAACATGAAATATTTTACTATATAACGAAACCCTACGATTTTAAATTTTTTTATATCAAGTAGTTAGTTTTGATCATCCAAATTTTACTACTAAATATATAATTATTTTAGACAAAATTTTAAGTAAATGAATGTAATTATTAAGAACATTTAGTTCAATAATTTGCAATTTATCTCCCTGTATAACATGAAACATTTTAGAGAAAATGATGATGAAGTAAATGCATTTAATTACTAAGAACCTCTAGTTCTTTATTGCAAATTTGAAAATAGGTCTAATGCAAGAAATTTATTTACAAATAAGTCTCATAAAATTCAAAAACTATAGTCAGTTCATTAGAAAACCTGAGTGCAATTTTAAGTTGGGAAGCAAAGATAATACTGCCCCTATTGATTTAACTTTCACTTATAATTACAACTGCACAATTTTCAAATAAAATGTGTAATTCACAAGTCAAAATGTCATGTTTAACACTTGATATGTATAGAGTAAATTATGAATTTTGCATCCTAATAAGACAATCATAGCCTTAATTGTCATACCAGGCTTTTTTTTTTGGCAACAAGATAATCATGTTATACCAAGTGTTAAACAAGAAATTTTTGGCTAGTGAATTATGAAGTTTTAGTTATAAAATGTGAAGTTGCTTTTGTAAGTGAAAACAAAATTAATTGTCAATAGCTTTATTAATTAAATCTAACATCAAACAACTTGTAGACCAATTGTAGCCTTAAGTAGGTATAATTAATTTCATGAACACTCCATATTATATCAAGTGTAAGTTAAATAAAATTTATTTGTAAATTTTGAAGTCGCTATTGTAAGTGAAAGCTAAATTAATAAGAGTATTATTATCTTTACACCTCAACTACAAATTACACTACAATCTCAAGAGAATGGAATAATGAGTGTAATTCATCAATAAATGGAAGATAACAACAGAAAATGTGCTGGAAACATGAATTTCTTGGGCTCAAATGTAACACCCTAATTTTTTTTTTCAAAAACAATTTAACTCAATTATGGTAGAAAAGTATCTACTATGGTAAACAGAAGTCAACTTATCCTTTTTTTTTTGAAACAATTCTATAATTTAAAACACTATCATGGTAGAAAAAATTAAACCCCTTTTTAAATAATACAAAATAATTTTATACAACTAACATACATTTACAATCACAGTTGGATTACAACCACCTAACACATTTTATATCAATAAATTCAATATAAAACATTTTATAATTGGCTTAAGCTTGTACAATACAACATCTCAGATAAATTTTTACTTCCCACATGCCATTAGGCTAAAAATATATTTTTCATCCTTATACTCCCAACAAGTGCAAACCACAAACCAATAACTAACAATTTAATTAATTCCCAAAACAAGCCAATTATTTGGCCTCATAATCATGCCATTTCAAACCATCCAAAATAAATCAGAGATCAAAGTTACAGTCATTCAAAGTGTACCAAAAGTAGAAATAGTTTGAAGGGCATGATTACATTATTACATTTATATAATTGTCAATAAATAAAAGCCCTAGTATTGACAATATAACACATTAAAAATCATAAATTAAATACCCAAAAGAGACAATGAATCTATGCCACTAAGCCTCAGGGACTCCTCTACGCACCACTCGTGACTCTTCTCTTGAAAATTGTTCACCACATAATGAGACTCAAAAGTTTCATTAACTAATGCCAATTTATGATAGTATATACAAACATTTAAATGTGTGCTTGCTATAACAGCCCTCCTGGGTCACCACTGCCTCTCCAGGGTTTTTTTCCAGGCGCTGGACAACACACATGTCACCACATGATTGCCGGCTTTAGCCCAGGTGGTACTGAGCATATTCCTCACCCCACCCTCACGGGGGTCTTTTGGAACCTCCCCAGACTCGAACCTCCAACCTCTACCACCTTAACGAAGTTGAGGCGAAGTCTGGTACCATTGAGTCACGACTCAATGGTACCAGACTTCGCCTCAACTTCGTTAAGGTGGTAGAGGTTGGAGGTTCGAGTCTGGGGAGGTTCCAAAAGACCCCCGTGAGGGTGGGGTGAGGAATATGCTCAGTACCACCTGGGCTAAAGCCGGCAATCATGTGGTGACATGTGTGTTGTCCAGCGCCTGGAAAAAGACCCTGGAGAGGCAGTGGTGACCCAGGAGGGCTGTTACATAAAAGGCGCCTTTTATGTAACAGCCCTCCTGGGTCACCACTGCCTCTCCAGGGTCTTTTCCCAGGCGCTGGACACTTCCCTCTCACAAGGTAATGCCGGCTTTACCACAGGTGGTACTGTGGCTATTCCTCACCACTGCCTAACCAGGGTCTTTTTGGAACCTCCCCAGACTCGAACCTCCAACCTCTACCACCTTAACGAAGTTGAGGCTAAGTCTGGTACCATTGAGTCAAGTGACCCAATGGTACCAGACTTAGCCTCAACTTTGTTAAGGTGGTAGAGGTTGGAGGTTCGAGTCTGGGGAGGTTCCAAAAGACCCTGGAGAGGCAGTGGTGAGGAATAACCACAGTACCACCTGTGGGAAAGTCGGCTTTGGTCCAGTGATGGGCCAGAGTCCAGTACCGAGTTGAGGCCCAAGGGGTGGCTCCGTGCTGTTACACTTGCTAAGTGGAAAAACAACAGTCATATAATTCTAACAAAAATACAAGAAATATTACAATGTATAACAAACAACCATCCTTATCTCCTTCCATTAATCTCGAGCCGTAGCCCTTACTTGGTGCTAAATTACCCGACTAAAAGTAGATTAGCTCGAGCCTTTACAAGCCACCTATTGGGCTTTAATAGAAGCATACCACGTGGCACATAAATACAACAATAAAAACAAGTCTCCCAACACCTCTCATACTAATCAAATAAATTCATAATAATATTGTACAATTATACAATATTACAATCTTCACAATTTTCTCATTTTCAACAATATTACAATATGACATCCCACTTGGCAAAAATACTTCAAAATGTAAATCTACACTTTCACAATTTTTCCATAAACATAACAACATAATTTCTCAACAACAATTCATAATTTTCTCAATAATCACCCAATTAATATAAAGCAACACTAAGCACAAATTAAAAGCATAGTTACCTTATAGCTTTTTCAATAAATTATTCCTTACAATTTCTCTCCCACCACAATCTTCACCAACAACACAATCTACAAATAACATATTATTTATAAATATTAGTTTCAATTATTGAAACTAATAAAATAACTCTAATAATAGGATTAGAGAATATAACATAATTTTTAATCTCAATCTTAATACAAATCTAGAGTTAGTACTATTAAGTAAAATTTTTAACTCCTCTTTTAGTCATCAATAAATATTAATAAGCTAAAATCAACCTCTAAACCAATTTCTATTATCAAAATTTTTCTTTTTATTTCATAAACTCGCACCTAAAATACCCAAAAATTAAAAATTGAGTCTCAAGCGTAGAATCATCATCCTATAGCCATAATAATCCATTTCTCATCCCAAATAATCATCTAAACCTCAATAAATTAACATATATTTTTAAATTTAATAAAAATCTAGCCTAGAGTTTGATCCATAAGCCTCAAATTTAAAGCTCACTAACAAATTTATACTCCAGAATATTTACTATACTACTAACAACCTTAACAACTACATTTATTC